ATCAAGGGAAGGTAATTTACCATATAATTTGTTTTTATATATTTTTGTAGAGAAAAGAGAAATAATGAATTTTAATTCTGATTCTTTTTCATACTTTTTACTACGATGAAGTAATCAATCTTTCTGGATCTAAATGGATGTTGTTGTTTTTTTTAATTTTAGACAAGGTTTATTATAACTTCTCGTCCAAGTCTCCCATCCACCCTAAATGCCCGTATTCTTCGAGAAGTCTTTGTAGAAATTAAAGTAAAAGAGCTTTCGGAGCAACAAGTTTTGACACTTTTCAAGACAGAGTTGGCCACACAAAATATACAATATGTTAGTACAACTTAAATTAAGACGACTAAATATAAAATAACTTCTTTTTATGATTAATGATTGGAATTTGAGTATTCTTCCGATTAATTTTGCTTATGTCGTGCTCATTAATTATTGTTTGTTTTTATTTTTCTAAATATAGAATGAGAAGGATATAAAAAAGATGGCATCAATATGTTCGAACTGTCCATTAGCCATACTTTCTCTAAGCAGAGTATTAAAAGAAATTTCTTCATGTACACTTAAAGAAACCTTTTTGCTGTATAGCAACTCGACGATTCACAATGATATCATGGGAATAGAAACTTGTCTACAACATTCTTTCTCTGCGCTGAATAAATCGGACAAACAAAAAACAATGTGTACCTTGATGCAACTGTCTGTTTTTCGGACATTAAAATTTGATATCGAGGCTGCTCGGTTTGTTTGCGGAAGAACGAGTATAGGACATGCAAACTTGGAAATTGAGATCGGCGATCTGCAACAATATCATTTCCTAGAATCCAAAGAAAGTTTATTTCAGTCAGAACCAATTGGAAAAGAACATGGACAAAAAGTATCTTCAGTAAAATGTTACTATATCCATCCATTAGTTTATCAATTCCTTAAATCAAAAGAGAAACAATATCAAAGCATTGTTAACAAGGCAAGGGAAAAATATGTCGAATTTATGCATAAAACGATATCAAAAACATCAAAAATGACTTCCGCTGAATCGCTTACGATTATTGCCAAATACGAACCTCATTTTCAAACTTTCTATGAATACGTAATTCATTTGCATACAACCACTAGACCTACCTTGATTGATCTTCCCAGCACATTAAGTGTTGTAAACACTGAATGGTTAACGGATTTAGTATTGGATACTACTCGTCGATGTCAATTTTTCAAAAGTATGATTTCTGACGCTGAAGAAGAAGGCAAGGTATTGGAACTTGTGTATTACAAAACTTGTCTGGCAAAACTTTATTTTGATAATGATAGACTAGAGAGGTGTCACACCATTTTGACCGAAATTGATTCTATAATAAATAAACAGAAACAACTCTCTAAAACAGCTAATTACTTAAAACACAAGAAGAAGATCAGAGACTATCCTTCTGCATTGATTCTCGGTGGCTTTTGGACAATGCAGGCTCGATATCTAAACATATTTGAAAAGTATGGCGAAGCTAAACAATACCTAAAGTGGGCATTATCTATAATGCAAAAAAAGGAGAGAGATTGTTGGTCACAAATTGCAAATATTTACAATTTAATGGGAGTTATTGCCTTTAAATCCAAAGAGTATAGCACTGCAAGAGACTTCCACTCTAAAGCTCTCACTTTGGTTGGAAAGGAACATGATGGTTTCATCGATAAAGACATTTTCCTGACAAACATAGGAAGTGCATTCTTTAAAGAGTGGGATCTAAACCGCCAGAATAAGGATGCCTTACAAGAAGCAGAGATTTACTACAGCAAAGCTCTATCAATGAATACAGCAATAGCAGAAAAGAGAGCCAAAATGCTTAAAATGAGGGGAAAACTTTATCTTTTACAAGGAAAATTCGAGGCTTCGGAAAAAGATTTACAGGAAAGTTTGGATATATGGAAACAATATGTACATCCACCCCACATAAATCTTATATCATCCTACCATGGAATAAGTTTCCTGTTTGTCTCGAAGGCAGCAAACTTATTAAAGATAGGGGACCCTTGTACGTATTTCGATTCTACATGTACATGTATTTTAAGTTTGCCTTTCTCTATATAACACAAACAACATTTTTATTCTCTGTTAATAGCAAAAGAGGCTGCTGGTTTCCTTACAAGAGCTAATGTAAACTACAAAGAGATTAAAAGACAGATAGAGGAGGGAGGATTCAACAACTGGCAGAAGAACAAAGTCCTTTACGATGAAATAAAGAAGAGTCACACGAGAGTTTTAAAACTACTGAATAAGGATGAGAAGGAAATGGAACAAATGAAAATGTTCTATCAGGTAAGACCAAATATTTGTACAAGGTAAAAATAAATAATTGTTTAAGAGTTCCAAATTGTATACCAATTATAAATTTTGATTTCTTTATTGAGTATAAAGATTTTATTTCTTTTTATGCATACAGGATTTTGAAGCTGGAAGATATAACAAGGACAGTCTCCCTAATCAAAGTTTGGACCTAGACGATGAATCTTCTCACATGCAATCAATGTTTACATATCAAAACATGGAATCGGAAAGTGACGATTCTGGCTCGTTATCATCTGACTCTGAAGCCTATTCTCTCATCGAAACATCCGACGAAGAAATCTCAGTTACCCAAAAGTGTGATGATAAAACAGGGAGATTTAATGAAAACACAGTTAGTCTGCCTATTGCAGCTTCTTGTGAAACAAAAAATGACATAGGTACACGAAAGCCTAAAAGCGGAATTTTCAGTGGTTCCGTAGACAGCGGCTATGGAGATTCCATCTCAAGTTGCTCCTCTTCGTCAGAGTCTAATTCCAAACCGAGGCTGTTGTCCATACCTTCAGGTTCAATGGAGGAAGATGTGTTCTCTTCTTCTGAAAAAAGTGCATTGAACCATTTAAACTCCCCTTGGAAGAGGAAATTTTGTAACAGACAAAATGTATGTTCTTTAAAGAGACAAAAAGGTTTTGACGATGATTTCCAATGCATGGGTCCCAATAATGTATATTAGACTGTACTCTCACAATCTGCTTTTGGATGGAATATGTCCAAACTCTCAAACATTGTACATGTAGTTAATTGATTTATAGAAAAGTTAATTTTCATTATATTTTATTGTATTTATCTATTATAAGTTGTGGAATAAACCGAAGGATTTTATTCAAATGCCACATACCAGTGGTTCTTTTCCTTGATTTATTCAAGCTTATTTGCATTGTACTTAATGGCCCGGACACGTTTCGGATCCTTTTTATCATGAAATATGAATATAACGAAATGTGACTGTGCTCAGAAGCCATTTTCTGGGTAAAACCATCCAAACTGTAAATATCATGAATAACAAAAAAAGAGTAAGTTTTGTTTGTTGTTTGTTATTAGCTCATCTTAGCCAAAGCTAGGCTCAAGTGAGATTTTTTTTGTTTTTAATTTTTATTTGTTTCCCCTTTTTATCTTCTTTTGTAACACAGAACACATTTCACTGTTTTGTGTGATTCAAGTTTTTTTTCTATTTAACAGACATTTTTTACTGGGGATTTAAATCACATATTTTACTATAAATGAATTATTATTCCTCTTTTTTAAAGTTTTGAATAGATAAATTGCGTGTCGAAACCTATAAAGTGAAAGTTGAATCATACTTTTTCATGTATGTTCAGGTAAACAAATATGTATGACAAACTATAGATTTAGTACTTCACTAAATAGAGTCTATTTTCACATCGTTAATTTCTTTTAAAAAGTTATCCGGTTTCATGCAAGTTGTGTCATGTGTTTTTAGAACGATCGCTATTATAGTTACTGTAAGTGATAGTTTCCTGACGAAATATGTGTTCCTAGGAAACAGATGCATTAAAGAGTGTAATTTTATAAAGGATACCTAGCTAAATGCACGCGTAATATTTTTTGTAATGGTTTTAGATTTACTGTTTACAGAAGCCCAATAACGAAAACTTAATTTAAAAAAAAACAAAACAAACAAATATCTTAAGATAGTTTGACCCCCAGGTTCTGAAAATCAGTCATTGAATAATTCAAAATACTTATAAAAATGTCTCCGAATTCTCAAAGTAAAGTGTTTTTGACCTGGGTATTCTTATAACTTTATCTTAAAAATGGCACAGGTACTTGGGGACAGGACCCCCCCCCCCCTATATACACCCCTGGTCAAAATATTTTTTGGTTATGAATTATGTTTCTAGTACTTATTTACAACGTATTTCATATGAAAAATCCAGAAAATAACATAGATTTAACGATTTACTAAAAAAAAAGTCATACCCTGTCCACAAGTACCTGTGAAAAATGGATAATATTATATAGATTTAGTATCTCTCCAATACATTTTCAGAAAATGTGATTAAAACACCTACTTGGCTTTTTTTAATTGAAAATTGATCAACAAATATATTTTAGAATGAAAAATTATAGGTATCCAGGCTTTTGAAGAAATAACATGATTTTATATGAAGGAGAGTACTTTATTTTTTTCTGTTTACTTCAGTCCTTTTATAATGCATAGTGTATTTCGTATTTCCTTTCCTTGTGAATCTTCAACAATCGCTTCTTGTTTTATATCTTGCATACCAGGTATAATACACAATTTCTTTAAACATGTATCTTTCCACAAGACGATTCTAAGAACATCAATGAGCTTTGAATCTCATTCAGACACATAAATTGTAAATTGTTGCATGAAACGATTTCAATTTCGAGCTTCATTTTGAAACTTTTTGAATTAAAATTAAAATTTATGAGTTTTCCTGTGACTGGCTGCCGATCATATATTCTTTAAATAAAAACGAAATTACTAAATAAAAAAAGAAATGAATAAATAACGAAAAATCTTGATTTAAAACGAAATTAGAAAATTAGAAAAAAAAATAAACGAGTGAATGTTTTTTTTATAACACGTGCGCTTTTTTGAATGATTCATTGGTTCACATATCCTTGCCATGCAGAACTAAAATTCCGTAATTTAGTTTTGTCTTTTTTTATTTTTATTAATGAAAGAACATTTTTGATATTTAAAACTTTTAAAATTTCTTATATGTTCTTAAACAGGGGGGTATACGCTGACTTCAACGCACTGAATATTTTCATACGTAATGGCGTCATATGTACGAAATGACGTCACAAACATGACGTAAATTTCAAAAAAAGAAAAAATGTAATATTTCATCGATATTTTGAAAAATCTGTGTGTTCAGGCTCAATATTTTGATATAATGTGTAGAAATGATATCAATGAAAAAAATATAAACAAACTTGCGCTCTATAAATTTTTAAAATTGTTGAAACACTTTGTCCTTTTTTAAAAAAGGATATAAAATCGGATTGGTTCAAACAAAAATTGTGAATAAACTACTTTGAAACAATAATATGTTCTGATAATTTATATTTCCCATACAATTTATTGAATTCAACACATTTCAGGAAGTTTTCAAAATTTGACTTTTCTGGGGGCAAATATATGCAATATACCGCATATAGTTCTTTGTTTTTATTATAATTTTTTTTTTATTTCATAATTTCGTTTTTTTATTTTGTAATTTCTTTTTTATTTAGTTTCGGTATTTTATTTTGTAATTTCGTTTTTTATTTAATATTTTTCGGTTTTTATTTTGTAATTTCGTCGTTCTTATATAGTTTTGGTTTGCACTATTGGGCTTTCGTAAATGTTCATAGTATCCATTTCCAAACTAGGACCGATGCCAATATCCATCAGCACCCTGTGAATTATTATTCCATGTTCTCACCAGAACGATTTTACTATTAAGACCTGCAAGACTATAAGGTAGGAAATTTAGATAAAGTATTACCCAAGTAGAATGAAATATATAGGGATAACGATCAGTATCAAAGCTCAAAAGTCAGGAGCAGAACAAACACGAACCCCGAAAACATCAGAGGTGGGATCAAGTGCAATGGAGGAGTGAGCATCCACTTCCGACCGGTCAAAATGCTCTTTGTCATCATCGGAAGATGACGTAAACATCCGTTGACAATAGTCGGCTTAAAAATAATTATAAATTAGTATGGAAAACGTAATTACAGTAATTTTTATCTTCAAGAAAGAATCGTACAACAATGACGTAAAGGAAGTTGATTGTTTCCCCATCATGTTTGTTAATATGTAATTTGTAGTGTTTCTATCGTTGTTTTTTTTTCCAAAATAATATTCACCACTTAATTTAATTGTCTTAAACTTGTTCAATCTACTGTTATAGAAAATGTATCATTTAACATGGAGTTTTTATTGATTTTTTTTTCAAATGTACATGCTTGAACTCCTTTCCATTTGAATACAAATGATAAAACTTTTAAATGCTTGAACTAAACAATGAGTGACTTTCAAAATGAACAGGAAAACTTCAGATTATAACTCTTGGCAATTTTAAAAATTTGCAAAATTGAAAACTCTAGCTTATTTATTAAATCGCGGGTAACCTAGCTGCTACGTATGGAGAGCTAGCATAAATATTTAATGCTACGTCCCAAATCCAAGATTGTTTGGTTACAAATTTGCAGCATTCAAGATTTTTACAAAAAAGTATTTCTATATCTAAGTGAATTAAATGTAAATTTAAATATATATTTTAACTTTATTTGTTCCAGTAATAAGTTTTTTATAAATCTTTATTCAAAATATAACACTTAGCAGCTAAGTTATTTTAAAAGATTTGTGCAAAATTGTAAACTGATTTCATCGCCATATTTAGGGTTTGTCTTCATACCTGACGGAAGGCCATCAAGATTGACGTCATGCAAAGTTCAAGACGAGGTCGGAACCAGCCCCTGGAATCTTGGGAAGGAATCAAAAGTGGTCTTATTGAGGTCATCGATACAGACAAAGACATAGAACGAGAATTCTTCAATTCGTCCTATACAAAACTGAGACAAGAAATCAAGGTTAGAATGTACATCTCATATAAATAACCCAACTTTATGGTTCTTGCTTGAAGTGCTCAAAATGATCACAGCTTCGAAAAATTTATTTTTTTAGGTGCGTTTAAACTAGATGTTAATGAAATATAAGTTGCAACCAATATCACATCATCTACCGGTATTACACTATACAATTATCTTTCAAGACTTTGCATTACTGGAATGAATTGAGTTGTTTATTTCATATTATGTTATGATGTAAACATTACGTGATTGATTTGTCAAGCAACAAGCTGAAACAATATTTATTGTTTCTTGTGATTCTTTCTTTATCTAGAATGGAGAACAATTTTTCCAGACCCTTGAAAATAATTTTGGGGAACATTTTCATGTTGTCGAATTCCTCATCAACCTGACTGAAGATATTGGACTTCATGTTGATGATGGTTCGACTAAGGTCGCTGACTCTCTTCGCGAATACTTGAATGGGTTAAAAGAGTATGAAATTGAATTGAATGAAAAGGGTCTTGGAACAAAATGTTTCATCGGAAGAGAGGAAGAACTTGCGTGTATCATCCAAAATTTGAAAACTGAAAAGGATAGAAAGGGTAGGTCTGATCTGGTTATCCTGTCATTTCTACATTTCATGGAAACATTGATGCATGTCCATGTATCTTATTTCCGTCTTTTTGACGTTCTAAATTTTTTTGTTTTCATATTTTTATTTAGTAACTTTAGATTTAAATTGGCTGAACCATATAGTTACAATTTACCATTTTTACCTCTATAATCTTCTGTTTTTAAAAGTATGATTTGGATATATTTCAAGATAAAAACATTATTCAAACCCTTTTTATAAACATGATTACTTTAATTTTTCAATCGTCAACTTCCCTTACTTAAACAGCAATATACACAAAGTTTATTACTTGCATACGGGGTTTATATCTCTCAGTTGATTCAAAACGCAAGAGCATGTACCACGTATGAACAATCGTCCACTTCCCTTACGTAAGCAGCAATATACCCTTATCACTTCCATACGTGGTTTATATCTCTCAATTGATTCGAAACGCATGAGTTAGCTCCACATTTGAACAAAGTCTAAACAGTTAGTGTTTGACAAACAAGTTGATGAAACAAGAATATAAACAGATTTGTCTAACGTCATTATTTTGTAAGTTCTATGGTCGATGCGATGACCTTGTCAGCAAATACAGTCTATTAAATCTGACTGACGTTTATCAAATTACTTATTAGACCATAAATAATGTGTACATTGAATGATGATTGTTGATTTTCCCATTCTTTCCCAATCATGACAAGGAGCACACGGTGGGTGCAACCGGTCGGCAAGGGATACTTACTCCTCCATGTCACCTGATCCCACTTCTGATGTTTAAGGAGTATGTTTCTGCTCGGCGCCTGATGTTTGTTGTTTTAATGAACTGTTGAGCTTGGATACCATTCTTTCATTTAGCAAAATGCATGTACAGTCACTATCCCTATTCTGGATCTGACATCCGGTTGCACGAATGTTAAGTTAATGTCGTAACCAAACGTTAAATTTTTAGCAACATGTTGCATAATTGTCAGTTAAATTGTTGTTTGAAAATCAATTACAGTTTAATTAGCCAACTGGTATCTCTTTTATTATTTCTATTTTCATCGAAATCTTTTCCTCCAGGACTTCTGATATGCGGGATGGGTGGAATGGGGAAAACAAGTTTGGCGGTTGAGGTCTGTCGTCATCTGTACATGGAAGACAAGTGGAATGTGTTTAAAATAGACTTAAGGTATGAAAAAAGATTTCATTAGAGATTTAGATTACATGTATATGTGTATATGAAGATACAGCTCCGACGACTTCACATTTTGATAACGTCTTTAGCTTTTCGTGTGTTTGATCTGTCTGCAGAGGAGAGACAACTCTTCGTGATTTGCTGCGCAACACATTGACGAAATTTGGAGAAAGGTTGCCATTTTCATCGACGGATAACACAGCAGGAGGCAATATAGGGGAAAGCGATCTGAAATATTTACAAGATTTACTTATAAAGAGATGTAATCATGAGAAGTCAGGTACACATTATTTTTTGGCATGTACTAGTACTTGTCTTGAAGTAACCTGCTTGTACTAAAATTAATTTATTTTTGTTATTAGATACAGTCTTGTTTTTGGACAACATTGATGGTATCCTAGAAAAGGACAGACAAAGATTTTTGTCCTTTGCTCAGCAACTGCTACAGAAGTCAAATACCAATTCAGATGAGGATGACCAATTTCCGTCGAAGGTAAAATTATTTCTTGCATTTCATTCTAGTCCACACACAACTCTACGACAGACCATTGATCATGTTGATGTATTAAAACAACTGATGAGTATTTTATATTTATCGTAGATGCGGATTATTTTCACAGCAAGAGAAAAACTAATTTCGAGCAAGGCTGTTGGTTTACGCAGGGGATTGATTCAAGAAGTTGAAATCAAAGGTTTAAATAACGCAGAAGCTGTTGAATTATTTACATTGACCCTTGGAAAAGAGGTAAGAAATACTGAACTTCATCTAGAGTACGATTTTTTATTTTTGCTGATAGAAAAATCATTTGAAAAGTCGTTCTTTTCACAATGAGATAAAAATGTACTGAAATGTTGTTTCAGCCTGATACGGATACGGTGACAAAGATAGTTGCGTTCTGTGGAAACTGTCCTTTGGCCATTCTATCGCTGTGTAACAGCATTCGAGGCTCTGAATTGACACCAGAACAGTTATTATTCCAACTCCAAATGAACCAAAAAGATGCAGGAGAATTTGATAGTTTTGGAATTGAGTCATGCCTGGAACAGTCTTTCCGTCTTTTGAATAAAGACCTTCAAAGATTTTTACTCGAGTTGTCAGTGTTTCGTACAGCCCAGTTTGACATCCATGCAGCAGTTGCGATTGCTGGTAGAAGCCAAAGTAGTAAAAAGGCGGCAACAGCTCTCGATTTAGTACATCTCAAGAGCCGGCATTTTGTTGAAGTTACGGTCGAAGGCCTAAGAAGGTCCAAGGCCTACTCTTTACATCCGTTAGTTGTTCAATTCCTGATAAAGAAAACTGAAGGAATGACTGCAGAAGACGATCTCATCAAGAAGGCAAGAAGTAGATTTATTGAACATTTTGATGGGGTGGTTCAGTCCATATCTTTAGATCTTCAAAACGACCCAATGGAAACTCAAAGAAAGCTCATTCAAAATAAAACTCACATCCAAAGTTTCTTCAGCTACTTGATTACCTCTGAAGGAAAACTGAGGCAGACATGCGTCGATTCACCGAGTGTGATGGGTGAATTTCGAAGAGATGAATTATGCTCTTTCATTCTGAGTGAGCACGAACGCAAGGATTATTATGACCAATATATCCAGTATGCCAAGGAAAATGGCTTAATTCTGGATGAGATATATTTCAAAACAGCAAAAGCAAGATTGTTCTTTGAAATCGATAGATCAGATGAATGCGAGAAGCTGTTAAACGAAACAGAGGACCTCATAAACAGAGAAAACTCCCTAGATGAAGGGACGAAATCCCCATTATTAGGACTGTTCTACTGGATGAAGGGCAGATTTCAAAATGCTAGGTCTCAATATAAGAATGCCTTAGCGATGTTTGAAAGATCTTTAAAATTCTATCAAGAAGAACCAGAACTTTATAATACGGACATTGCAAACATATACAATTCTATAGGAGTGCTTTACTACAATCAAAAGGAATATGACAAGTCTGAATGCTACCACAGAAAAGCGCTAAAGATGGCATTGGAGCATATGGGAGTTGACGCTGAGGGAATCAACATTCAAGTTTATTATACTAACATTGCAACTGCTCTTTTTGCGCAGTGGCAAAAACAATCAAAATCAAGTATTCTCGAGGAATCAAACCGCACACTCTTAAATCAAGCTGAAGAATACTATACTCTTGCCATCTATCACGACCCTAAAGCATCGGAGAGTCGTGCAAAGAAACTGACCAATCGTGGGAAATTATACCTCAAAATGGAAAGGTACGATGACGCTGAGCAAGATTTCCAAGAGAGTCTTCAGATCAGGAAGGATACCTTAGTCCCTCCCAATATTAACCTTACGCATGCCTACCACAACGTCGGTATGTTTTACTTCCGGAAAGGAGTAAACCCAGAAACAAGTAAGCCGTGCTTATCACTCTTCAAGCAAGCGCCAACTAATGTTTAAATCCATAAAATAATGTATATGATTTAATGAGGTCGATAGCACTTCTCTATTTGAGTTTAGTAGATCCAAAAATTCTTTCATTTTCGAAAAGGTGCGTTTGTCTGCTTCTTTGGGTCGACTGTAAGCGTTTTACGTTTCCATCTTCTCCAGAACCACTTGTTTGATTTCAACTATGTTGGTACTAAAGCAATATAAGGAAAAATGAATTTATTTTAATTTGACCAAGGATAGAAAATTGCTCATGTTAAAGCTATTCACAATTTGTAAAAATAATTTGTCCGCCATATTCGATTGGTCTCTCACTATATCTGAGGGCTTCTTTATAAAGCCGCTCACTTAGTTACTGTTCAGTGTAATCAATCGTCACCGGTGTGGACGGATGTATGCTATACAAGTGCAGCAGTCGGTAGCGGAAAAAATTACTGTCTACAGGAGAGTAAGACACCAAAAAGACTTTCAACAGTAGCAAAGGCCATGGCAGTATATGAACAAAGACAACTACACGCAACTGCAATGAAATAATATTCAAGATAACAAGCACGAACACAGGTAGCCATTCCATGCAGATATACGTGACAATAAAACAGTCAGGTGTAACGAATGTGGAGAGTATACCAAGATACTGATATCGAAGATATATAGTAATTATCGAAAATGGCGTATGCCTATTTACGAATCGTGTTTAGCTTTATTGAAAGGTTAAAACTGTGATTGGCCCCTAGGATGTGAAATGAGAAGAGGTCAGTGCTTTTGTTGCTCGACGTTTGTTTTTTTACAGCTGAACACGATTCGTAAAAGGAATGTGTCCGCCATAATCGATCGGACTCCAGAAGTCTAGAGGTATACAGTTATTTTTGTAACTAACGAGTTCTTTATAGCATTTGTCCGTCTACACTGTTGACGAACAACACTGATCAGAGACACATTGCAGTTGTAAACAGAAAAAAAATTCGGTCGCTATATTTTAAATAGGGGGTCATTAACTGGCAAAATTGGAAATATAGCGAGAATCAAAACATTCAGTGATAGACAACGAAATATGGCGAACATATTTCTTTTACGAATCGGTGTTCAGGTTTAACGTCCCTCTTGAGAATTTTTTTCTTATATGGATACGCCATTACTTGCCGATGAAGGGCTGTAAATTAAAACGTACACTTGGCACTCAGGGCCATTAAAGCAGTGAGGGATCTTTTTTTCGTGCTGGCACCTATTTTGACAAGGATCTCGATTGATATGGTCTCTTCCGAAGAACCGGTCTCCATGTTACCACATTATTGCAGGGCAGGCTGAGAGAGAGAGAGAGAGAGAGTTTGAGTTTGATACACATTGCAGTTGTAAACAGAAAAAAAAATTACTAGTATATCTATATTGTTATTATTGTTAAAAAACAAATAGAGACTTCACACATTTACTATTCAATTTGTATAATCGTTGTTGTTAAAAATCGGCACATATAAGCCATGTAGCTATGTAAGTACAGTAATTATACTGGTCAAGTTTTCATTAAGTTTTAGAAAAAATTAATGCCTTTTTATTCAGAAAACAAGGCGGAGTGTTTCGTACTAGCAGCAAAATATTATGAAGAGGCAAGGTTTCAGATTGAAAGAGGTGGACTGACTCTCAACGACCCAGCGTATGAACTCAATAAGAAATACCACAAACTGGCACTACAGACCATCAACGATGACCGTGGACTTGAGAAAGCAAAACAGTTTTATCTAGTCAGTTTTATAATTTAAAAAGTTAACATTTCTCATTCGATTGAAATACGATAGATATTTTTGTTGCATGTTTGAACTGGTATTAGCAAAACAGGAATATGAAAAGACGTGTGAGAATTAAAGATTATTTTGTTCTCCACAGAAATTTGAATCTGGTAAATTTGACAAGAAAATTCGGAGATGGAAAAGTATTGATGAAACCATGACGAAAAGTGAGCGATTGGCATCGACAGGAAAAAGTTTTGAGAAGAAATCGGAATCGAACCAGTCTTCTGACTCGGAAGCCGAGGCAAGCTCAGACAGTTCTGACCCTGACGACTCTCCTGTCGACATCACTGACGAAGAGGGCGGCGATGACTTTACAGAGGAGAATATCAAGTCACAGATTACAAAATCAGACGACATGGCTTACGGACATGAAGATATGGAATCATCGTCGTCCCCTCAGAAGGATCTCGGTCGGAATGATGAAGTGGAGAAAATGGAGAGAGATAAACTGGACAGCGGAATCGGAAGTCTTGCGTCGAGTTCTGCTGGATCATCCAGCAATACTGATGACGTAGTAAGCAAAAGAAGAAGGCTCGTATCCATGCCTTCGGGTTCTCTGGAAGATAATGTTTTTACACATAATGATACTGCGTAACTTGTTTATGTGGAAGAACCAAATATATATACAATAGAAAATGTTTTAAGAAGAGTTTTGTTGCTCAATAGATCTTCTTGATGTAAGCGAAGACTTTTATTCGAGTATTGAATAATACGATATCGAGATCAACTTTAATTTGAAATATTTTCTGTGTGTGCATGCTGTGATAATTGTGTTTAAAAAAAACGTTTATGAAACCAGCAGCTACAGTACGTTTTCCATGTAATTACAGAGTTTTGGGCGTGTTTTGAAATTCATTCCAAACGTATTTAATCTATTTATTCATTCAAATTTTATTTTTCGTGTTTTTTGTCTTTTAAAATTTATTTTTAACTTTATATTTTTTACTAACATATTTTTATTTGATTGTAAATCTTTCCAGCATCAGCAAGAAAATCTTTTGCTAAGCCTCCCGAATCACTCGATTAGTTCTGTCAGTATCTCTATGAAGACAGTTTATCAGTAGACTCAAACAAACGCTGGAAAAAAAATTGAAAATGTGGAGAATAAATTGTTTATTTCCATGTGCAGAATTACAAAACTCGTTCACAATAAAACGAACTAGACAAAGGAATGGGACTTTTTACTTTGACTTGGGTTTTATTTAATGCATTGCTGTTGATTTAGTCTTGTTTGTGTGTTTTTTATACGATTGATATTATACTCTTCGATCTCAGAAGAAGAAATCAAATCTTATTGATAGTACTACATCTCATTACTTACGGCAGCAACGATTACTGTTATTCAACGTTTCAAATAAGAAATCAAACAGTTCTTTTTATTGTTTATCTATTATACTAATGTCCCCCTAACTTTTTGCAGCAACAGTTACCATCATTTTAATTCAACTCATTGTTTTTTATGTATGAAATACATAGAAGTATGTGTACAATCAAATAGCATCATGTATTTTTGTTTAAATTCAAAATTGTTTTTTTATTTAATCAAAAAGCTTTTATGTGAATATATTTTGGCACTTTTTATTGTTTCCGATTTGCTGTTAGAAATGCACAATATTTGACATATTTGAAATAACATTTTACCAGCTTTGAATAAAAATGTGCACAAAAAATGACTTGTTTCTTTTCTTTGCAAGATGTAAAATAGAGAATTAATGAAAATTTGGTGGCATCTTTTAAAAATTATATGCAATATGACACTGTACATTGTAATAATCGCCTTAATTTATTGGACGTTCTAAAATAGAATTTTCACGTTTTGCTTTAGCTTCCTTGGACACTGCATTTCAAAAATGAGGTTAAATTTTTACATCAGAAATATATGGAAAATTCTTTGAAAAATGTTTGTACTCGGATCATACTCTTGCAATTGAGTATCGGAGCCGGATATCACATGTAACATTTATTATAAAACACCCTACACTTCATGAATAAAGTTGTCGATGGAAAAGTTGAGGACATCTTCAAGTCCTGTGTAACCGTTTGGCAAAATGCTCCCAAAGTCCTTCATGGAATATATAGGAAAATTCTTTAAAAATCTTCTCAAGAATGACAAAGCCATAATTCATCATGTTTATATGGAAGCTTTTGCTCAGGTAGTGTAGATTCAATTTGTTCATATTTCATGTAATGATCAGGTATAGACAGAACATTCCTTAGTCAAATTCAGTGTTAAAAAACATAGGCATAACAATTATTATAAAAAATCTTCTTCTCAAGAATGACAAAGCCATAATATATATCATATATACATTATAAAGCATGAATTTAGGTAATGCTAGACTTTCAAGTTTATTGAAATTCCTGTAACCTCAACTTATCTGTCAATAACCTGCCTCTGTCTAAATTACTTGTATGAAATATATAGGAAAATTCTTCATAAAAAAGAAGACAAGAATGGAAAAGCCATAATTCATCATATTGTAATAGTTTAATTGTTATTGCTGTTATTTATAGTCAGTAAAACATCTTAAATGTGAAACAGACTGGGATACAAATCTTTTAAGAAGGCATGGTGGGATCAGGGACACAGGGGCCAAAATGGCCTTGTTTAAAGTTTCACATAGAAATATAGGAAAATTCTTTAAAAATCTTCTTCTCAAGAATGACAAAGCCATAATTCATCATATTTGTATGGAAGCATGCTCAAAAAGTGTAGATTCAAATTTAATATCTGAAAAAAATGAAACACAGGGTAAAGGGCGAGGTGAAATAATTCAAATTTTTAAAGATATATGTAGGAAAATTCTTTAAAAATCATTTTCTAAAGAATAGCAAATCCATGATTGGTCATGGGACTACCAGTGTGTTTAACTTTACAATAAAAAGCAATTTTCAACCTTTTAAACAAGATAATCTTTAGTGCTCAGGTGAGCGATGTGGCCCATGGGCCTCTTGTTATAATTCAACTCATTGTTTCTTATGTATGAAATACATGTAAGTTTGTTTACAATCAAATAGCATCATGTTTTATTTTTATTTCAAAATATTTATTTTTTGATTTACTCTAAAAGCTTTTGTAAGAATATTTTTGCATGCACTTTTGATTGATGTACCGTTAGAAATACACACCAGTTGAAGTATTTGAAAGCTTTGAATAAAAATGTGCAAAACATGACTTGTTTCTTTACAAGATAGGAAGAGTAAACTTCCTTTTCAACAGCATCTCTTCACGTTTAATTATTTGCAATATGGTAAGTACATTGTAATAATCGCCTATTTTGAAAATTCTATCTCTCTTAAATGTTTTACTGTCCATTTACTTAATTTTTCCAGTTTGCATGCATTTTATGTATAAACTAAAATTTATTAAAAGTTTTCAAAGTCATACCAGTTATACAAATACATATGTTTGGGTGAAGCATAGACATCGGTACCGGGAGGGGGTCTTAGGCACACAAATGTTTTGCAAAGATATATAGGCATTGAAAATTGTGTTACCTTTGCAGGGAATGCTGCCACTTCCATTGCTTCAGATCGGCTAGGTACAATGTTTTGAAAAAAAAAGGTCCGTGTTTGTGCCGCTAATATTTTGTAATGTTTTACTGTTTAATAGACTACATGTATATTAAAACGTTTTTCTCCAGATATGATTCATACAAATGATCTCTCAATAACTAAAATTCCTTAGTCAAATTTTTTTTTAAAAAATTTTTCAAAGTGCGTAACAATTACTCAAGGTAAAAAAAATGTTACTCGAAAACGCACTTTGAAAAAAAATTTATATATGCTATCAAGTGCTATTATAATGCACTTTGAAAAAATTTTTCAAAATGCTGGTTTTGTCCAAATTGAAATTCTTTGAAAAAATTTTTCAAACTTGCCTCTATTTAAATTACTTTTAAAAGTGCGTTGCCACAAGGCTACGACTAAGTTGGGAGAAAAAACACCATTTACGGCGCGCGCATGCGCAGGTGATAGCGGGGTTTTCGTCAAGTTAATTGACAAACTCAAAGATTCAAATCGCGCAATCGGTTTCTTTCAGTTTATGGTGAATGTAATGATTATGATAACCTACTCTATTATGACTCTGTTACGCGTCAACGTCATCGTCACGGTTGATTGAAAACCATTCAAGGCCCTCTCTGACGACGGTTAAGACGTTCTATGGGGGAAAATTTACTAGCGACTGCAAAGCAAGCTGTTGTTACCATAATTTTTTAAGAAGGCACGTAAAAATTCCAATGGAACTTTCGTCAACTGTTACAAGATTGAAAGAAATGCATTTCGTCTACAAATACTGAAAATTAGTACATCAAATGGTACAAAAAGATCGTTGACTGACAAACTTGTCGAAATCAAGTAGCACCTGTTCTTGGCTTTTTAGCACTTTTCCTATCAGTTGGTATGTAACATTTCAGGTTGCAGTAATACAGTGCCCTGTTCACAGAACGTTGCTCTGCTGAAATTGATTTTATGCATAGTATAACAAAAACACTGTTAACACTATTATTATTATACTATGGGTTAAAATTTTTTTTTACATATCATGTTACCCTGCGTTTCTATTTCCTTTCAGTATAATATGCTAACAAACTGATCATAATACTTTGAATAACAACGATAGAATTTACAACATGCTAACTTTCAAACGAGGTAACTGAAACCCCTGTAACATCAACTTATCTGTCAGTAACTGGCCCCGATTTGAAAATTGATCGTTCTCGTAGCATGCTCTCGAGTCTCGAATTTAAGGTTGGAGAAGTAAACATATGACCTAGGTGATAGCGGGGTAATATATAATGATTATTTTAATATAAATATTATAATAAATAAATACTGTAAAGTTGTAGGTGGGAAAGATTTCAATTTTGCATATGTCAAGAAATAGAGCTAATTACCAAATCCATTTACTCCAACATTTATATTTAACCATGTTAACAATGTTAACGCACATAAAATTCAACTTTTATGGAATTTGGATCATGATTTATTTTACTTTATATAGAGTTTTACATAGGACCAAACAGTCGGCTGTCTCCGTAAATCGCCGACCTGCTGGTCAGAGATTAACGGAGACGACCGAGCGTCTGTTTGAACGAGACTAGTCAAAATGAAAGTAGCCGGAAGTGAAAAAAAATGACTTGGAGCGGCAAATGTGAACAGAAAGAAAGATACAAATTGATTGCATGGACTGTGACTGTGAGAAGATACTTAATCATAGCTTTTCATAGGGTACTTGACTACTTGTAATACCTTTCTGTATGCCAAATTCCCTTTAATTTTAAACAACTGAAGACTTTTATCGCAGACTTTCCCCTGATGGGTTTTCTCCCCATAGAAAATACTAGTAGCCATGACATTAATGGCTCATCAATCGTACCAGAATGGGGTGTCAGATCATGAATCCTAATGGGAACAATAGTCTTCTTAGCTTTATGGATACTCCTCCAAAGGAGCTATTTGTAAATCTGTTTAGGTTGTGTTGAGCTGGTGCAGCAAGATCGTTTTATTCTGACATGAGATAAAGTATTTTATTTGAGAAGTTAGCAGGCATGGCATAAAAATTGGTCTAGGAAGTGAGTATACATGTATGTCTGTCCACTTCTCAAAAGAGAAACTTCAGTAATGAATGCAAAGATGAGTAGGAAAGTTGTTGAAAAAGAAGGCGGGGGGAGGGGGGGGGGGGGAGGGCATTTGACAAAAGAGTCCATTCCAAAAATAGTCCTTATTTATTCTCAAAGAATTTTAATCCAAAAAAATGGAACTATTTTTTCACAAAGAATCAAGTTAAAAATAATTTAAGTAAACTTTATTATTGAGATTTCTTAATACTTCATTTGTATTTTAATGTCCCCCAGTTTTGATTTTGATTTAAAATAGGCTACTATTAAATGTTGATAGTGTTGACATGCCGGTTTAATGTTTGACGCTGGGTTACAACTATTAAACATTGCGTCACAGTAGACAGAGTGTTTAATCCCACCTTATCTGGCATCTGTTGTCTGTGTGGGTCCAGAATTAGAGGATAACCCCCTACAACCCAAAATAAAGCTCAACAGGGACACAAAAAATTGATGTCAGATAAACATGATAAGGCTTTCATTATTTTTTTGAGAAGTTTAAATGTCGGTATATATATATATGGAAGAAGAAAATTAACTTGTTATTTTTATGTTATATATAGAAAATTTAATATGCTTCTGTTCTCATTTAATTTTGTTTTTGCAATTTTTATACTAAGTTTAGGATGTCTCAATATATTCAGAATTGATAGATAATCGAAATTTGTATTTTCTCTCACTTCAGAAAAAAGATTTTATGTTTAGAATTTTTTCCACACTGAATGACGCATAATGTATATACTTATAATGAAAAAAAGGTAAGTTGGATATTATAGCTGGTAAACAGTTGACAGAGCAATTAGAGGGAAGCAGTTTGATTTTAGAATTTCCTCAGTGACACAATGAAATTAATTTGGGGGCTTAATTACCCATAATGGACAGAGATGTGCTAAAGTATTGAAAAACTGTGAAAGATGGCATTTTGATCATAAGCTGACATCTTAGTTAACATAAGTAGTATTACTTCATAATCTGGTTAATAGTTTATAATTTTATACTAAAGTAAATCTAGGACTTTAAAATGATTGATATAGCCTTGTAGAATTTACAAATGAATCTGGACTTTTTTATGTTCATCTTGATAACTAAAGAGTGGAAAATTATTGATGTGCTTATATATTTTCTAGAAACATGGAAACTGAGCATGCTGAGAGACTACGTTGTTTCTTCACATAAATTGTTGGATTAAAGAGTAAGTACTACCCAGGTACTTTAAATTGAGGTAATTTATATTTAATTTAGATAAGAAAATTTATAATTAATACCACCTGTTAAAGATATATGAGAAATGTACATGGATAACAAATTAAAAGAAGTGTCTTTTGAAAGAGGGAATATATGGGTGTAATTGTTGAATGTTATTTCATTTTTCATGTAGAAAATGACGAGGATAAGTTACATAACAGATTATTTTACCAAGGAGGATAACTCTGTTGGAGATGTAAAGTACTGCACAATAAGGGAGGTAACTGGTATGTAATATAATATTTAATACTCCTTTATTTATTAAGCATGGACCCTACCCCATATAAGTGCCTTCTTAAGATGTTTTCAGTTGTGAATATTTTAATCTGAGCTTTAAATTCAAATGTTTCACAGATAACGATAAAGAAAAAAATGACAAGGAGAGGCCCTTTAAAAAAAATAATCTTTTTTTATAATGATAAACATCAAATGACATTCATGTATCATTGTATGTATTTAAAGTGTGGAGAATTAAGACTAAGATTTATAAAAGAATATAAAACATATACATGTACAATGTATAGCCAAAAAATTATGGAAATCTTTAAAATTATTTATGCATACAATACATATTATGCTTTCTGTAAAATATTATGTATAATTTAATTTTATATTTTAAATATCTTCTTTAAAGTTGAAGACTTAATCATTTTCTTGATTTAATTGATCTTTTAATATATTAGAAATGTGAATAGCCGTAGAATGGTGCAGTTTGCTGAAAGACTTATATATATACTGGTCATTGTGGCATTCATTTCACTTTAAAATTCATGAAGTCTCGGTCATAATTTGACATAGTTGTTTCGGACAATAAAGATAATGCAGTACGTTTTCATACATTCATATATCCATTTTGGTTAATAATTCTAGATGGAAAATCCTATTTCAATTGAAATGTAATACCAAATATTTGAATTTTAAATCTGATTCCAAAATAGGTTAAATGACTGCTTTTAAAATATTCAATTACATTTTTCTATTCATATAAATGTTATTTTTCTTATAATGAATGACTTCCAAAAGAAAAGTTATTGCTTTATAATCACACACCTCTTTTAAAGCATTCACACCCCCTAGAAAGGGCCATAACTGTTACATCATAACTGTTACACCTATATAATTTCTTCTTAACCCTTCCCAGCATTTGTAGATTTTACAATATTTGTCGAAATGGTTCACATGTACCTGACAATATTTGTTTAAATCAGCGTCTTTGCTAACTTTGTCAATAAATGTGATCATTTTATAATCGTTGTACATGGGAGATATTTAACTTTCCATGTAATAGACTTTTAAACCCTCCCTGGGGGCTCCCTGCTTGGTCAGTGCTGAGTCCATTGTGTGTCAGCCGATTGTCAGGACGGTTAGATCTGAGTGTGATACCCTCTACATGGGGGCAGGGCACCTGCCGATTGACATACCCATTATATTCATTTCTCTTACGTGAGGTAGGGATACCAGTTTAATGAGAATTAAAGGAGTGGACCTTTGCGAGGTGGATCGATCTACCCTATTTATCTTCCTTGTGGCTGCTATCAGTGACGGAATGTTAAAGAGGGTTTTAAATTTTACGATGCCCGATTTCAGTGTATAGGTGTGTGTTACTGGAGACAGAATGTGAGAAGTTTCGGATTCTCTGACCAGAACGTAGTCTGTACACAGGAATTTCTCACTAATAGGAGAATTTCTTTTCTAGTGTTATGGATGATGAAATTATCTGTTACTTTTCATTGGATTTATTTTTTTAAAATTGTGATAACACTGAACATTGAAGTTCCTTTTTGAGAATTAATATATCCACTATGGAGAGTATAGGTAAGTGTAGAATTAACATTTATTCAATAACTTTAAAAAAAGTTAAAACAAAACTTTATTTTTATTTCATTATATTTTACCTAAGTTTTCTTTTAAAGTAACTTATTAATTGTCATGTCCATTATAAAAAACATCTAAAAGTGAGAATTTTTTTAAGGAATTAGAGGGCCATTTTTTATCTACATATATAAACCAGAAATAAAATGAAAAATACCTGAAGACATATATTTAACAAGTTGAAAAGTTAAAAAAGTTGTTGATTTAAAGTCTGATTTGTTTAGATTTGTCTTGAAGGGGGAGGTATTAACAGATTAAGCTTCTTTATCTTCTTTGATCAAGAATAAAAACATGATAACCTTACACAAACTACTTGTTTGGATTTCTTTGACCTTTTAATGATCCATCATAATTTTGAAAGTTACATACAAAATAAATGTTATATTTAGAAAATACTGGTTCAATTATTTTATTGTGATTTAGATTAAATTGAAGCTCTAGATTTGTTTAACTCATATTGAAATGTTTCATAAATTGTGTGTGATGCTAGAAGCGGTGAGAAATAAATTGTACATGCAGGGCAAAAATTAGCAATTTTTTTCGTAAGGTGTCATAAATATTTAGATTTAAGATAATTTATTCAAAAAGATGGATACATTTCTGTGTTAGAATTGCAACAGGTTTTGAGGTGCGCAGCCCACAAGAAAAACTTCAAGCTTAGGAAACCTGAAACAGCCAGACAGACAGGCTTATTTCTAATTATATTTTATAAAATGGAAGAATTTAGATTGAGGTCAGTCGTAAAATCCACTGAGATTTAAATATTCCGAGCATTCTTTCTGCCCGTTTTTGTTGTGATGTCTGTCTTCGCTGTATTTATCTCTTTTGCAGAACTGGATTTAAAATCATCTTTTACAGAAAAATTGTTTGAAAATTGGGGAGAAAATGTATTTTAAATTGTTGACCTTGGTCCCATGTAACAGCAGCTCCTATACAATCATAGGGAGAACCTATAAAGTCGTTAAAATTCTTCTGAAATTATAAGAACATTCAGAACAAACTACTTGGGAAGTTATGCAATAGCACATTCGATTAAATCCTTATTTTGGACATGAGTCACAGTGCTTTTTTCCTTAGCATTCAGGACACAAAATCAGTTAAATGGGAAAGGCAGGAACTTTAAAGTGACGCAGATTTTGAACTTATCATCAATAAGATTTTACGTATTTTCTGAGAAGGAAATGTTTAAGCTGAATTTAGTTTATTTCCTATAATAGGTATATATAATAATGCATGAACTTTTAAATATATCTTTCAATTCAGTTAAATTTATCAGTTATCAGTTTCTTGGGCTAACTAATCTTCAATGCTGTATTTAAAGCTAATTGTAGGTTATAAGTAATTACATTTAATTGATAAGAAAACATTTCTTAAATTTATCTCCAAGTTTGTAAGGATAAAAAAAGTGAAACTTGGCTGTTAACCCAAGTCCGTGCAGGTGGTCTGTAGTGAAAAAATAAACCAATCACGTAAGTGCGAAAAAAGTAGACTGGTTGCTAAAAGAATGAATAACTGACTACCCCCCTGGACTGTGTGTTGCGACAACTTGTGTTAAAATATCAGATTAAACATTGAGTCTATGACCGCCATCAATATTTATGTTTCTTCTTATGCCTTCTGATTTCTTCATTGAATTTTCACAAAGAATCAGCCAAGTGTTTTGCTCTTGATTAAACTTGTATCATAAGATCCCCCAAACATTGAGCTCTCCTTCACGCAAACCAGAAAATCCAGCAAACACTGGGTTCTTCTTCAGGCAAACAAAAAAACGTATCAATCATGCTAGACCAGCTATACAGAGGAGATGGCAAAAAGGTTCAAAATTTTATTGAAGTATAAAGAAACAAAATCACATGAAATAGGGAAATACTGGAATTTGTATTACCGGGCAATGTAATATGGCAGCCCTGGTATACAATATATCAATGTTATGTAATTCTCAGTATGCTTTTACGCACCATTTTTGGAATGTCTAGGTGGTTTGTCCTTATACCTGCAGGGACAGGGACACAAGACGTGTTCCAATCTTCATTTTTTTTCACAGTGTTTCCGTCTTTAAATTTTTTAATAAAATTATATAAAATAAACATGTGGGTGTCTCACATCAAACATCTTCAAGTGTAGTAAGTTTATTTGGAACAGTGTTCAAGGTTTCAATAGAAAGTTTATAAGGTGGCCATCCTCATTGCAATGTGCAGTAGTTCATGGGGTTAAATTTATATATTCATAATTTCTGCTACAAATACAGTTCAATTTTGAAATGTTATTTCCCTTGAATTCATCGTTTGAGGCATTCAGTATCCGAGTTTTTTAGGCTCTGACTTTTATCCTAAATCAGTGGGAGGTACAAATGGCTGGCTATTTTTGTGTTGATTCCAAGCTTTTGACACGGGAGTTTGTACGTCTCGTTTTTATCTTACCTCAGACTGTATCTTATATCCAACCTCCGCGGCCTGGGATCATAGCTCGATGAAATGATATCCACAACAAAACTCCGAACAAAGGCTAAACGATGAGACAAGATGGCAGTATCAATAGACCATTGTTAGGATGAGAGGTGTGAGACAAATTTGATGGCCGCGTAGACAGAAGCAATTATTTTAACAAATTCCATCTTTTAACTTATCATGTGCCCTTTTTTTCCCCATTATGAAGTCTCCATACCTTAATGGAAGAATGCATTAAGATGGGTGTAATGATGCGTCCACAACTTTTGACGCAAATGCTGGTCATTTGTTTGCCAGTATAGCTGAACTGAATTTCAGAGTTAAATGAGGGTCATACAGACTGTAGATTATATATGTAACTCAGAAAGTTTTATGTAGAAGTAATAGTTATACCTAAGATATATGTATGCATATCAAATACTTGTCATATTTATTACCAAATTGTTGCTGGTAAAACTTACAGGGAAAATATATACATGTATATTAAACATGTAATGTGGGGTTTCTTTGCTCTTACTTTTACATGACTTTTTACCACCACTTTAGCCAATTCCTGCATTTGAGTGCAATAGGCATAACATGCAAAAACTTATGATTATAAGATATTTTATACATGCAGGGGGTTGAGGAGGAATACCAGAATAACCACAGGGTCTTACATCATGATAGGGGGGAAAATTCCCTGGCCCCTGGGTCTCAAATTATATTTGTATTATACGAACGGTCCTCTCCTGTTGTGTGGTTAATTTATTCATGATAAATGAAATTAAACTTGCGTGGCTCATTCCTGAATGAAGACAATATTTTTTTTTCTTGTAAGGAGTGATTTTTCTTGCAGCACAATTCATTTGATGTGGGTGTCTCCTTCTCACTGATGTGTTTGAACTAAGGAGCTGAGGTGTTGAAAA